GTTTTAATAAAGCCAATTTAATATACTTGAAATCGCATAGAAAGCTTTATCAAATAAATATTAATAAATATATATTTTAAGTTTTTGCCTCTAAAAAAGGGCAAAACAAGTTATTTTATTTAAAATTTCTTAAAATACAGCAATAAAATTTTAAAATATAATTTAAAATAACAAAAGCTCATTAATAATTTTTAATATTTTACAACAACATATTAATATTTATTCCAAACAAGCTTATAAACTAATTGTTTGGCAACAATTTAATAAAAACATGAAAAAATTTAATCACTTCCACTGTGTGGAAGACCCCCTGGAAAGGCACGTAAACATTCTATATTAACCTCTCTTGCCCTTTTTGCCAAGGGGGTCCCTCTTCCAATTGCCTATAACTGTTGCCTAAGCTCTCTGTTCATACTAAAATTGAAGCCTCATGGTAGCTGGTACCATGAATCTGTCTCTTGCCCAATAATATAAGCTGGGCCCTCTTTGGAGAAAAAATCTGGGTTCCCCATGATCAATACCAGGGCCCCGCCAGCAGGCGAGGGGATCCAAAAGCAGTTTCTAAACATGAAGGCCACAAGGGCATACGCTACCAAAGAAACAAAACTAAACCTCACATCACCCTGCTTGGCCCCGATGACTGGTTAGTCAACGACGAGTAAGACCCCTCTGGGAGGGGCAACCTAAAACAAACACAGTCGCAGGGGGCCTCAGGGAAGAACTTGGGAGTCAACAAAGGTGGGACAGAGATCCTCACCTCCCCCAACTATGCAGGGGCTTGAACACTTGCCCCTTCTGAGGGAGGTCTCCTGCCCCCATGGCTGCTACGCTTCCCATGCCCAGCCCAGATCGGGACCCAAATAACAAAAAAAAACTTAACCCAGCCGAAATCGATACCCAAAAAACAGAAACTTAACTAACAGCAGCTACCCTATATCTAAATCCAACTTAACACCAGGAATGCTCAGAACCTTCTCAAGAATGCAAAATAATCCTTTCCATTAATATTTACAGTATAAACTAAAATTGTTATTAAATTATTAAATTTAACAATAAAATAGTAATCAAATTTTCAAATTAATTAAATTTTACTAATTAATATAAATAATTATTCAAAAAGTATTAACCAAAATTTTCATTTCATAGAT